GGGCGCCTCGGGGGCAGCGTACAGCGTCGTTGGAGCTAACCAGGAAAGTTCACCACTTGCGGTAGGGGGGGAAGGTGGCGTTTGCCTTTTAGAAAATTTTTTCCAAACGGGGGGGCAAACATTTTTCGGCAGTTTCAATTTTCGAGTTTTTCCTGGTTTTCATCGTGCGCATGTTTGCCCTCTTTTTGAGTCCAGTGTGAGACGTTGACGGACTTCCGTCAGGCCTCCCGCGTCGCGTCGCCGCGTGTGAGAATGGGGAAATGTTGTAGGGTTAGAAGGAGACTGGAACAAAGTGTCAGGGAAGCTTGAAGCTGGGTGGAAGTGACTGGCGTCCGTGGTCACTTTTGCTCGTACGCTTTGTCCTCCGTATAAATCCGACCATCCGTGATGGAGCGCGGGTTCGAGCTCCAGTGGGGGCATTTCGCCTGCTGCTCACATCCGATGGTGCGGGCGCCTCCTGTGGAGACCTGTATATCTGCTGTCAAACGGTAAATGCATCATAGCAGAGCTTCTCCACCTTGACATTAAGAATCTAGCATGTGGCTCACAAAATGAGACGTAGTTCGCAATAGGAACTGCATTACCAGCAAGCAGTAAAATGCCCCTCCTGTCGAAGAGCTCCTATTGCCTTGTTCTATATTGCGTGGCAAACTGTGAGCTGAACTGAATACGATGCGTGCCACTCGCCAGTGTGTCGCTGATAGTACCACGTTTTTCTAGTAATGCTTAAGAGGAAGTGGTTGCTGTGAGAAGATTGTTGTCCTGAATACAGGGTGCTTTTTTGATTTGGCAGTATCTTCCCTGTTTTATGAGGGAGGTGGCTTGCACTCTTTGACTGCGTACATTCCACTGTTGAAAGCGAACAAGGAAGGTTGCGAATTGAAAAAGCTGCGTCGATAAGTTAGTTTCCATCGACCCTAGCGACCTTGATCGCCGTGTGAGCGTCAGAAAGGACCCTGTACACTCTACCTCAAGGTACCAGACTGGTGGATCATTCTCGCTAGCCTCTGTGTAGGGCAGACATTGCTTGTTCTAATCACTGGTTGCCCTACCGTCAAACATCTTGGGTAAAAACGTAAGTTAGCGGCGATGAAAAGGTAAGGAGAGTGAGAATGGTAGGAGGATGGATTGGAGATGTATGTTGTGCGTGGCTTGTTCTGATCTGATAGCAGGGGTGCGTGTGGTCTTTATTAAGCATAAGTCCGGAGATGGCGGAGTGAGAGAAACGGTTTGCGGTACCGTGGAGGGAGAGGGGAAGAATAGGAGCGTAGTACCGTAGGACAAATGATCGACAATGAGCGGAGCTTATGGAAAGCGAATGTGCCGCCGGTGAAGAGGTTTTAGCAAAGGGTCTATGAGCGAGGGCCGCTTTATTCGGCCAGTTAGGGTAGCGGGGGTGGTGAGGGGGGATTCTTGCACTGGTTTGCTACTCTTCACGTAGCTCGGTGTTGACAGAAATCTAGGGAGCCTCTTCATGCAGCTACGGTTCTGACAGGTTTCAACCATGGTAGCTTGGGACGAGCTCTGCCTTCACAAGAGTTCAGGCAGGTTTCCACCCAGAGCTGGTGGAGTCGTAAACAGCAACCAGTGGAAGCAGCGAAAAGTTGCATAAATGTGACGGGGTGGCCGCGTGCCGAACTGGTCGCCCTTATCCCTTTCCTAGCGGGTTATTTTGAGGATTTTTCAAGCAGTAAACTACTACGTGCTTTGAGAAATTTGATAATAGATGTCTCACATCTGGTTGCGGTTTAGCTGTCAAGTTTCTTTCCTGCAAAATCAGCGTAACATCTGCTCAGACGAGATGAGATGAACAATGCCCATTGTATTGTTTTATCTTTTTTCGTTCACACAGAATACATCTGTCTAGAACCTCAAGGCCTATTTCAAATTGTCATTGATTCGTCGGAATAGAACCGTCGTGCGCCTGGGATTCGGAGCGAGACGGGAATCCTGCGGGGATTTTGTCGTGTGCAGGTGCGGGGGGGGCGGCATGGGAGTGAAAAGTACCGATCATTCCCAGATTCAAAGAAATGTTTCCGTTGGCTGCCTTTTCTCGCCGTGATCCTGCCAACCATTTCCTACGACGTTGGTTATAAAATGGAGGATTTTGCGGGGGAAAACCACCGCAAAAGTGGCAGGAAGGTTGTCAGAGCCCATGAGAATCTAGGAAGATTGATAGATGGGGAAGGTGGTTCGCATCGGAGGAGGAAATTTCGAAAGTGGTCGTTAGTGTCGTCCAGTCCTTCCTCAATCAGCTAACGGCCTGTTTCGGTTTTGGAAAGTGGATCAGTTTCATGTGGCGATCACAGATCGTGGGTAGCCTTGGGAAGTTCACAATTAGCTCGTTGTGTTCCGTGTCTTTTGAAACCCGGCATCGATTTTTTTCACCTGTGAGCACCGATCAGCACGGCGCTGCGGCGCGTGCACGCGTGCCTGCTGCGACTATTTTTTTTTTGTCAAGTCATAAAAAGGTGGTTAACTTAATACAGTTCCAGTGGCAGATCGGCCACGGGGAGGCATTTTGTGCTTTTGCTGTTTCTCATTGTCGTGTTCACAGCTATATAAGAGATTGACAAGTAATTTCTACAAGCCCTAACTGGTAACATTTCATGGATCTGAACTGAAACTAACGGTGCAAGGTGTCGCTGGGCTAATCAATCTGACTACCCAGGGATTCAAATCTTCTGAAGTCAGTGAAGTCTAAGTTGAAGTCCCGGCTATGTTCAGATTTATGGAGGGTTTTACGGCTTCTAACCAGTGCCTGAGCCGAGGGAGCGCTCAATGCTAACGATTGGAAACATCGGAACCCTTGGGTGTTTGCCCTTTGGTGACATGACGGCTATATTTAACCAGATTTAAAAGTGCACTGGAAGATAAGAATCATTTGAGTTGGTAAACAAAAGTTCTCGCTCGAAGAAGCACCTTCCAAAAGCATCTTCCAGCTGTAGAAGTTTTTTCCTTTCCCAGAAAAGCACTTGAATATTTTCCAAGAGAAGTGAATTTCTGAATGGATTCGTGCATTTCCTTCAAGATGCCCTAATCTATGATGACATCGTCTTTCGCAAAAAGTTGTTACGGCTCCAGTGCTCTTTTGAAAAAGAATCCTTTGCGTAAAGGAGCGATGGCTGGGGGCGGGCGGTTGTTGCCACGTCATTGGTGGAATGGCGGAGCGGAGGTGGCTGTACCCTCACTCGCACCCCTTTCACCCATCTACTGCCCTTAAGGGGAAGTGGGCGGGGAGGGGAAGGGTTAGACGAACCTGAGACTCCGCAAATTTTATGGGTGGCTTTTTTTCGAAGGTGGCGCATCAGTGACTGCACTGAGCTCAACTAAGTTCTTACAGGTGACTATAATTTGAGGACCAAAGAACAACTAAATGGAGAGAGAGTTCGAAAAACACTAAAAATTTGAAATTTCCATTCACTCGTGTTCCACGTGGGACACTCGTAATTGGGGCACGTCGTGGTTGGATATCCCCAGCGAGGGACCATATTTGGTCGATGAAGGAAGGGGGTCGATGAAGGAAGGGGTCGTATTTTCCTTTGAGAAAAACGTTTTCGGTGTTGGGCAAAGAGGCAAAGAGATCCCGATATGTAGAACTAAGCGGGTGTCAGAAATGACTTCTAGAAGGAAGGCTTTTTCTACCCAAATTAGGCTTCAGTTCTTTTTTTTTTCGCGACCAGCCAACTATTCAGTTGTGGTCCGGCCCTATGAACACGAATATCGCATCTGTTTGGCGTAAAAACGCCTGGCACGGACACTTGTGACGTGGACTTCAGCGTTTTCATTTTTTTTTGCCCCGAAAGCATGTTATTTTCGGGTTCTGCTGGCAAAACAACCCGCAAGGACAGTTTTTTTAGGCAACAAATTATGCCGCTGGAAATTTCCAAAACGTGGGGTTGTCATATGTTAGTAGGGCCGGTCAAACTATTCAGTAGGAAAGAACCGTAGTGTGGCATGCGCGTTTCAGAGTGGACCAAAAAAGCGGTCTTGTGGTCATCACCAGTTATTTTTTATTGAATGCGGAATGAATTGTGCCTTAAGCCGAGATTATTTTGTTGAAACCATGGCGTGAAAATCAGCTTTTCTGTCTGTTTGGGAAAAATGGCATGCGACAGCGAATTTAACGGGCAGACCGGCTGAGGGGACGGGAGAGGGGAGGTTTCGCTCGATAAGTAGGTTTTTTCCCAAATGTTGAGCGGTATAATAGTTGAAGTAGGTCATGAGGCGAGACTGAACCGCGCTCGTCCCGCCCATCGCTCCCCTGAACCTGTTGAGGAAAGGAATCATTAGGCGAAGTGCCGTGGTGGAATGGCACACACGAGCCGCGGGGCTGTTGCCTACCGGGGGTAGGGTTGTCCAACTTCCTTTTTGTGGGGTATTTCCATTTGAGACAACCATCGTCCTGCCTTGGGCTTTCACGCTTATGTGAAGTACGCAGCCACACCCTCCTATCTCCTCGATATAAAGTATATATTCTCGGCCATAGTTGTATCCATAAGAAACATCGAAATTTGAACCTCAATTTTGTCATTCGTCGTGAAGGATAAATTCTATTTCGATGCACTATCACAAGTGTTACCGTGGGAGTTTCTCAGGTGAAGTACTGAGATATTCCTCATAATTTCACAGTAATCGCCAAGTTGCTCTTAATTCACATTTCGCTGGGTCGTAATTTCTAGGAGTTAGGAACGGCTTTTTTTGAGTGAAAAAATCAGTGATAAACAATACAACATGTGGCATAGCAGGACTATTTTTCAGGTCCCACAAATTCTTTGAAAAGGCGCATCGCTCCCTGTTGTGCCATTTCGCGGAAGATCGTGTGTACCATGTGCGGCCTTCAAATGTCTTGACATCTTCTGTATTGACTATAGTGGCCAAAACCAATACATTACAGTAAACTTGTTCGGCTTACGATTCGGTTTTTTCGTCGCCTTCGTCGGAACCTTGACAGCCAAAGATCTTTGGGTTTTGCGTGACTCCCCCTCGACCTAAAGCCAATGGCTGCTGAAACCCACGTATGTACACTCTGGGCTGATGCCGTTTGGACGCGCTCACTTTTGGCTGCTGCTCATTTATGAAGTGCCTAGATCACCAAATCCGCTGAAAACTTGTATACAGGGTTATTTAACATCCTGATTACGAATATGACATTCATTCTTGGCGCTGGCGCTAATGGAGGACACTACGATTATCTTCTGGGCTCAGCCTTAGCAGAGCGCAGGTAATCGTAGTGTCATCCATTAGCGCCAGCGCCAAAAATGAATGTCATATTCGTAATCAGGATGTTAAATAACCCTGTATACAAGTTTTCAGTGGATTTGGTGATCTAGGCACTTTATAAATGAGCCGGCAGCCAAAAGTGAGCGCATCCAAAGGGCATCAGTCTACATTCTGTCATGGTGGGAGGGGTCGTAATTGCGGACGCTCTGTCGCTCATAACAGCGTATCGAAGATTTATGCTCCTTCCTAGCTTCGTCAGGCTTCAGTTCCTAATGAGTGTTGCTGGGTTTCAAATGCGAACGGTGAATCATTTCGTTGGCAGAAACCACCAATTTTTCCAAGGTCGTTGCCACGCGGTGCACTAGGTACGCATTACGACCAATCCATCTGGACGAAGAGTGGGGTTAATGAATAGAGAGCTTATTGATTAATTGGGCAGCAGGCATTTATTATCACTTATCGATTGAATAGTATTTAATGGAGTTCGGTATTCATAGTGTTAGCATAGGAATTAGCTATACTGGAGTTAGAGTTCTTCTTTTTGAGGCAATCATAGGTGATTGGAAGGCTTGTTCGCCAGAGTGAGACTTGTAAACCGGAACTAGTGAAGTAATGGTAGTACAAATGCCCCCCCCCCCGTGTGTTCAATGGTCAAACAGCGCCGTTCGTTTCAGTCAGTTTAGATAGTTGCTACTCAAGTTGGAGCTTTATTCATTGCCTTTCCGAATGTAACCCTTTGTGGTCTCTGTGCATCCATCTAGGTTCTTCAGACAGCCTACAACCCTTTTGGCTTTATTTTTATCTTACTGCGCCATTGCGGGTTTGACCTTTTTATCACATTCCACTTGATTCGATTCTAGTTTAATGGTTTTACTTCAGGTTTAATACAGTCATGACCCCTCCAAACAATAGGGCTTGTATTTGAATGCTGTAAAGGAGCTCTTCCACCACTGATGCCATCAGGGGCGGCAACGAGTGGCGGGAAACGCTCTTCTGACTGCACTTCAGTTTACACCCCTTCAATCGCCTTATCGTTTGCAGAGATCATGACTATATTTGGTGAAACGCAAGCTTTGTATGCTTCTCCGAGTTTTTTTTTTCGAATAATCGCCCTCATGTATTTGATTTATCGATCTGGAGGTCCAGAGATTCGGAGAATGCGCTGGAAGGACAAGTTAGTTACTAGGGCCATCTGGGAAATTAGGGATTCAGAAAACCGAAGAGTGTGAGACTAGGAGTCCATCGATTGTCGTCTACTCATTCACTCCTGTATTCTCCCTTCTATTATCCTATTCTCTCTGTGCTGCAGATCGATATTTACACTTCCCTTTGGTGCGCGCATTCTTCCAATTCTCCGTCTTCCAGCGTCGCAAAGTATGAACGCGTTGCGCGCTCATTCCGCTTTACATTTTTTTGAGCTTTGGTGTGAAATGGTCGTTTAAGTAAACAGTCACTTTTTGCAACTTTATTCTAGTGTATTTCAGCGAGAATGCGACAAATTGCGTTCCGTTTTGGAGCAGAAAGCTCAGTCAGCAGCCAGTCCTGCAGGAGGAGCAGCCCCGGCATCTCCACGGTCCGAACAACTCGGAAACGACTTGAAAGAGGTAATTTTCGATGTACAACTCATCCTAATTTTTTTCTTAACGTTCTCCTCGTATTTGTCTGAAGATATTTATTACTTTCCTTGTATTTAGAAGGCTGTACTTCCTGCGGATGGTGCAAGTACACGAGCCAAGAAATTAGCCGTTTCTGCGGAGCCAACTAACTTTGAAACACAGGCCACTACGTTACAGCATTACAACAAAACTGCGGGGTTGGTTTTCGTTTCTGAGCGTTGTTTCCATTATTTTTCTCCTATTTGCTCTATTTTCTGACTTCGTTTGATTGGAAACCCATGCGAGAAATGTGAGATCCAGTCTCTTCCACCAAAATGGGATTGAGGGCGCGAAGGAGGTGGGGGAAAGACGGTCGAGCATCTGGGGTTTCCTTGAGAAGTGGCAGTGGAACTCGTTTCATGCATGATTTTCGTATTGTCGCTTGTGAGGTAGCAAGCTTCCAGAGATGTAGAGTGATATTAAGATCGCTAGATGAAAACGCCTCTTGCGATTAGTTGCCCTGAATCGTCCCTTTGCTTGAACTTTCTGCCGTGCCATGCCGCTAAAGGAGAGAGCGCAGACAGGCAAAGGGCAGTGACATTCAAACTTGTTATTGGCCGGCGTTGGTTTTTAAGGGAGGGATCCGGAAAGGGTGACCTGTTTATCAAACTTGAAATGCTCAAATGTTTGAGGGTGTAGTTCTGGAGAAACAAGTGGCGGCGAGGGTGACGAAAGATGTGTTGAAAATGGTGGCACGTGCGCGGCATTCGCTCCGGGAACTAACTGATTTGGCGCCGTTGCGCTTCATTGTGTCTTTTCAACCGGCTAAGAGATAATCTGCTAGCCTAAGCGCGACGCCGCTACTCGGATCCTTGAAATAGGCTGAATGAGCCATGTAACTCCGGTTGTAAGAATGCTATGTAGAAAACAATGTGCGCCAGAGAGCGGCAATTTGATGCTGCGCGAAGAACAGAGACCCTGCTAGAGTTGTGAAGTTAGTTACGAGTTGTAGCGCTGTTGTAGGGAACCACGCAATAGCACAGCCAGATGCGCTGTTCCGCAAACTGGGACAAAGCCGTGCGAATTCTTTCGTCTGTAGGAAATCAGTATCGTGGAGGCGGAGAGCAAGGAGCAGTCTTACGCTGCGTTCATACTTGCGGGGATATTCGGCTATGCGAGAGGCTGGGCGATTTCAGAGGTTGCGCGATGGGTATCAGTCTGGCGACTGCGCGGAGTGAACGATCCAGTAACATGAGACTCGGCGGTGTTTTAGGCGATTGCGCGCCGAAGGAGTATTGATCGGCACCTGTCGCTAAACCTCCAGATCGCTCAATCTCCCAAAACGCCGGATCACCAGATCTTTCGAATCGATACCTATACTATCCTCGTCGCGCATTTCTCAAACCACCGAGTCTTCCAAAACGCCGAATCGCCCGGCCCGCAGACGCGGCTTACTTTAGTCGCGCGGCCTCGGGTCCCTTCTCTTCAATGGCGCTCCAATTACCTGTGGTTCGCCAGCTAATCCAGCTGTCGCTCTGCCCCCCCCCCCCTACTGTCCTGTGATTGCTTTTACAGCTTCTTATTGCTGGCTTGTGCTGGCAGTGAACTACTTTATCTGCATACAATTTTAAGCAACATATGATTGATGTATAACATTTACCAGTTATTTCTTTTCAGTTCGAAGCAACTTATTCGGGATGCGGTACACAAGAATGACTTCCTGAAACAACTGGCAAAGGAACAAATTATAGAAATAGTAGAATGTATGTATGAAATGCGAGCAAGAGCTGGACAATGGGTGATCCAAGAAGGAGAGCCAGGAGACCGGTTGTTTGTTGTAGCAGGTGGGTAACAACTGGATCAATAATTTCTGTTATACGTCATAAAACAAGTGTAGAACAAACAGCTTACAAGTAACTGGTTGTTCTTAGCTGTAAGCGCTAAGCTTGGGCGCCGCGTAATGCAATCTGGTAAAGAAGGCCAGTAAACGCCTGTTCTGGTTCTGTGCCTTGGTAGTTCTTGGAACTCAGTTGGTCGTTCTTTGAACTAGGCTCGATAGTTCAGAACAGTATTTTTTGGGGGCAATTCTTTACACTTTTTGATAAGTTAGAACCAGTTCTGACCAGCCGTTACTTTGGTGGCTCAGTGTAACATAGACTTTAGTTTCCGTTGGAAATTGTTGCGTGAGAGTTAACTGCATTGTTTCCAGAAGGCGAGTTGCAAGTTTCACGAGAAGGGCAATTGTTAGGAACGTTACGCCCAGGAATTGTTATGGGAGAGCTTGCCATCCTCTACAACTGCACCAGGTTGGTCTATCACTATCGTTGTTACCTTTAATTCCTCTTTTATCCTTTTGTGAGGCTTGTACCGTACTTCCTTTTCCTTTCGACGTGGAGTGAGTGAAGTCTTACGTTGATGATTTCTGGCGAGGAGGGTCGTATTTGGCCGCTTCAGGGAGGAAGGGAGATTGTACTTGTTCTTGAGAAAAATGTGTTTGTTCTTTAACTTTTCTTCTCAGGGATAGGGGTATAGGTTTTTCTACCTATACCCCCTATCCCTGAGACGGAGTAGGCGTGACTTTTGAACATCTCATACAATGGGTCCATGGGATATTTCAATGCGAGAGAAACTGGTCCATCAGCTGTTGCTGGCGTTGGACTGAGCAACATGGCCAATATTACGACAAAATGAAAATATCTCACCAGAAGTCCAATAACTGATACGTTCAGTTAAAGTCGCAGCCACGCCTCATAGATTTCGTGTATATTGTCGTTCAGGTTAAAGTCGGCAGCCATGTCTCATAGATTTCCGTGTAATTACAAGGCGAAATACTCTCCGCACCCGCCCCCCCGCCTCTTCCTTCTGCTCAATAGCTGGGTTGTTTTTTCTCTTGGAAGTGTAGGAATCTGGTGAACTAAGTTGATGATTGGTGCTAGGGACGAAATTTTGAGGGGATGGGGTCGTATTTTGCAATGAATTTTCGTCGAAGATAGGACGTGCTGTGCTGTAGGAACACAAGGTGGTACAGAAATCGTCTCCCCGTCTAGGGCGATCCACATGCTTTCCTCCACAGACTGGTTTTTGGCACCGAAACATTCCTCCAGGGAAACAAAACTTCTTTTGTTCGCAACATCGCATAGACCTGTTCGGGCGTTCAGTATGCCCCGAAGATGAAAAAAGGGTGCGTGGCGCATCCCAAGGGATCGTGCAGACAAACTTTTCTTCGCTACTAACCATGAGACCGCTTTGTTCTCTCTGAACATGCGCATTTTACACCTAATCGCGTAACAAATTGACAAGAGGCGGGTACATTAGATCGTCACTTCGGTCACTGCGCTCTAAGACGGTCGGACGATGTGTTGGTGGTGATGGGCGTAAAGTGGACCATTCGACATCGCTGTGCTCTCCTTGAGCAGCCTTGATCTGGCTCATCCTCATGCCAACCTACCACTTTGCCAAGCTGCAAGCACGTAATTTTCGTCATGTATTCCGCAAGTTCTACCGTCATCTGACTCGTCCATCTAGGAAGTGAGCGTTTCTTTGTCACTTTGAACTGTTTTCGGCGCATTGACGGCAGTCTATTCAAATTAGAAAAACGAAGTGATTGCGCCGACGTCGCCTACGTGATTGCTATTTATGTCACAATGGGCAGTGGCGTGTAATGCGATTATGTTTCGCCATAGACTGTTTCTACACTTGGGTAGATGCATCAAATGCAACTTGGTTGCCGCATGCATTGGTTTCAATGCACGTTTTTCATCTTTTTCCCTGTGGCTTGAATGGAGCGTATTTCTTGAACCTAAAGTCCAGGCGTTCAGCTAGTATTCTACGGCGCAGTTTGACGACGGGGGGAGGGGGCATTTTGCACTTTTGCTACTTCCCATCGACGTGTCGACCTATCTAGACAGCCTCTTCTCGAGTTGACAGGTTTTAACATGATGGCTTGACGACCTTGCTCCAGCTTCACAAGAGTTCACAGGTTTCGCCAGAGTGAGACATGTAAACCGGAACTAAGGAAGCAATGATAGTACAAAATGCCCCCCCCCCCTCGGTCGTCAAACTGCGCCATATTCTGCAATTGTTCACAAGTTTACGATTCAACTGTTTATTTTTTATTGCAGGACAGCGTCTATACAAGCGCTCACCGACGTGCAACTATGGGTACTGGACCGCAGTGTATTCCAAACAATAACGCAAAGGCTTGGAATGGAAAGGCATACACAGCTGATGAACTTCTTGAG